ATAATTTACCTCATATTATCATTTTTACCCTAAGTTGGGCATGTTTACCATGCTGGAAACAGTAACTTTGACTGGCACACGTTGTAACAAAAAAAAATATTCATTTCTCAATAAATATTGGGTAAACCCATAGATCAAAGTTGTTCATGCATTTATTTCAAAATAAAAGATACAGTAAAGAATAAGGTACACAAACAACACTTTTGCACATTTTCGTGTTAAGGCACAGCAAACAATGACAATCTTATCCAAAGGCATTAGGTTTTTCACCCTCACATTTGACAAGCATGTGCACAGGTACAGTTAGTGTAAGAAATTGAATTTGTCTGCGCACAACACCGATCACCCTCTCCACGGGAATCTGAGATGTGCTATGGCCCTACGTCTCCTCCACATCTACTCGCCTCAAGCTGAGGCACGACCCCTGGTGAATGTAGGTATTTAACACTTCAGCACACATCATGCCCACATGTTCTCTATATTAAAGCCTCTATCAGCCAGCACAATGTCACCTGGTAACCGCTAGTTCAGGAAACCACTTTGCTCGTTATATGCTTGTCGCTTGTGCGCCCACCCCACCCGTTCGATATGAAGGAAATTACACCTGGGGCGTGATCCACGATTAGGAATGTTCATAGTGTATGCGTTTTGTATAGAGAAAAAGTCTGTGCCCTTGCTAGAACATTGGATAGTTTCTCGATGAACACCTCGAAGCATCCACAATGGCAGCCACATTGTTCCCAAATGACTCCACAAACTGGTGTGGCATACTGGTCAATAAACATTCCCTACTTGGCCAGTGCCCAATGGACACAGCTGTGCGTACATCACACCAAGGGTTTATGGTGAAAGGCAACGGCGACTGTTGTCCTATGTACTCTAAACAGATGGCTGAGGTGCTGTAGTGGAAGGTCCAGTCTGAGGCGCATTAAAGTCAATAGGACAAGCTGGAAGGTGAGAGCTTCTTCATTCTACCGTGAGGCAGATCTGGAGTTTAGGTAGAGTAGAAGTGTCTGGAACAATGCAAAGTTTGGAAGCCCCGTGTAATATTCCACTGTGTTATCATCACCACTCAAAAGTTCTCATTCATCCGGTACGTATCAAGCTCACGCTTCAGCAGTCTGTTTTTCTTCAAGAAGATTGTTGATAACATCTCGTCTAGATGGTGCAGAGTCCACTGTCTCATGTCCCATTCTGGCGGGTCAGGGCTGGCGGCGGCGGCGCTGCGGTCTAGGGCTGGGCGGCGCGGCGCCTGCGGCTGGGTCTAGGGCTGGTGGCGGCGGCGCCTGCGGCTGGGTCTAGGGCTGGTGGCGCTGCGCTGGTCTAGGGGCTGGTGGCGGCTGGGCTGGTCTAGGGCTGGTGGCGGCGCAGCTGGTCTAGGGCTGGTGGCGGCTGGTCTGGTCTAGGGCTGGTGGCGGCGGCGCCTGCGGCTGGTCTAGGGCTGGTGGCGGCGGCTGCGGCTTGGTCTAGGGCTGGCGGCTGCCTAGGGCTGGTGGCGGCTGCAGCTGGTCTAGGGCTGAGGTGGCGGCGCCTGCGGCTGGGTGTTGGGCTGGAGGTGGCTTGCCGCTCCAGTGGCAGGGGACCTGCGCCTTACTTGCCGCTGATATCTCGATTCATCTGTTTTTTTTTGTACATCATTGTGGCCTAAACAACAGGGATGGTGTCCAGTCAGGGTGGTTCTCCAACATCTCATATGCTGGTTTACCTACACGAGAATAATAACAACATATAATTAATATAATAATTTGCACAATCTATGTAATCAATGCTTTAAACTGGCAACTATGTCATGAACAGCATCTCAAGTACTTTTTAGGTCACCTCATAATGTCATATGAAGGTTTATGTACAACAGAATAATTAGATTATGTGTACAATCTATGTAATCTATGCTTTACACTGGCAAAGACCTCGCAGAACACGTGCTAAGTAAGAAACAGCCTGAGAGGGTAACAAAGACACAGAGACAAAGGTACTACAGAAACCATAATAACATATGCTAACCTACACTTCCTAGCTTTAAGAGACAACTACATAAATACATTTTTAGAGAACGTACCAGAGTGAAAATGCAGAGAACACACTCTCGTCGACAGGGGTGTGTGATCGAAAGTAAGGTCCTTTCTTCTAATTGCAGCCAACCAAGCAATCCGACGTCTCCTTGTCAGGTCAGAGAATTGCTCCCCTTGATGCTTTTTCCATTTCGGTAACCTAAAAAACTGTATCCCGTTGTTACTAGGTTTTCCATATCCATCGTGGGAGGTATTGGAGCAGTTTTTAACGCAGCAGTTATTTCCAGGCATGATAAAACAGTGCGGAATAGCAAGAACCTCCGCTACTACCGCGTTCACAACACACGTAAACAAACTGTACTGCCGCCACCGGTGCGCAGCCAATATGTCGGCAAAGGGGGGATGGGGAGGGGGGACTCTGTGCCGTGACGTCAACTCCTCATTCTCAATTGGACTGGATGCTCATAACAAGACTATCATAACAAGTCTATGATAATAACAGGGTTTATGCAATGACATGTATGGGCAGAGTCAAATTCCAGAGCCACCCCTTTATAAAGCCACTTGAGTTCAGCCAAAAGATTAAATGTCAGCTGTAAGCAAAAACAAGCTTACAAAATACTTTAGCTTGTCATTCTGTTTTCAATATAAAATCCTGCCATCTTCTCAAATTAGGCTCACAATATTTTATTTAGTGAATAGTAAATGAAGATGACTTAACAAAGAATAAACCATAAGTCTTTGAAAGAAGCATTGGTCTTGTTAAATATGTGCGTGTCTGTTAGGACCTGTTCAGTCTGTTCTCTGATTAGTTTTGGACTAGACCCAAACCTCATGAGGATGTATTGAGGTAAACACCTTGACTAGAAACAACACGCCCTTAAAAACCCAAATGACAGGTCAGACAAGATTTGACTCACATTTGCCTATACTTTTCCTATCATTTGGTTACGTGGATTATGAGACTTCCTGGTTGGACAGGAGCAGCAGATATGACACAGAGACCACAGATAACAACAGTTTAATTTACACAATAATTATGTAGAAATACAAGGCAGCAGCTTGATAATAAATTCTTAGTCTCTCGTTAATTGAATTTTACTGTTTTTGAATGTGATTATCCAAGTAGAAGGAATCCATTTCAGAAATTCTGTATGTTTTGAATAATTGATTTCAAACTTGGTCACAAACAATCACAATTGAATTAAAATTATAATAGAATAATTCCCTGAACTGGTTTAAAGAGCCAGAACAAAACCAGACGACTTGAACAAAGACTAAACTATGCCTTTGAAACATGAGGATGGCCTCAAACTTTTTATTGCACACGTTACACTTAAGGGTTACATCAAGTATGGACAGATTTTCAGGTGAACTTCATTTACAAAACAGAGGAAGAATGAATCGAAAAGATAAAACAAAAACAAGGTCTTACAAGGTCTTATGTGCAAAATGACATGGTCAAGGACCCATGTTTAGGTCAAGGACACGCAGCAGGTTTACAATTGTAGAAGGGACAAGACACAGAAATCAGAGCCCTTTAGTTTGGTACAACATTATGCATAAGATACAGGGATGTGAGGAAACATCAGAAAAATGAAAGTGCTTATGAGAAAAAAGTCAGTTTATTTAGAACTAATAAGGATACTAATAAGGAACTTGACGTATATATTTTCTCTTGAATACTTCAAATGAGATTTTTTTCCACCTTTTTCATTAGTCTGTTAGTATTCATATTGAAACAGAAACCATTCAATAATTGAACATTGATAATTTAGAATTCCAGCAATTCTAAAAGTTTCTGACTAACTAACTAACAATAGTGCACATGTTCAACTCAGACTGAACAAAGGATATCTTAGTATGTTTCTGTTAAAACCTGGCTCTACAGCAGTTCATTTGGACAAAAGCAAACAATAATAGACCGAAGGTGATCTTTCACACCCACAAGCAGCCACGGAACCAAACAGGATGAAAAGGCTCTTCGCACTAACATGTAAACAGTCAAACATATGTACAGGGACAGAGGAACCAACAGAAACTAAGGAACGATTGCACAACACCTTCCGTATAAATGTGTAAAGTACCCTTCCTGTTTACATGTAAATAGTACACCAAGAGCCTTTACTTCAAACAAGGCTGAGGCTTCCTCTTGGCAAACTGGTTTAACATAGAACCTCACACAAAACCACATGAAAGGCTTCTATTTTAGTTCACATGAAATGGATTCAAACACAATGTCATCACAATTCATTACTGCAGACAAACAACATTTTCTGAACAGTTTCCTTCTGCAGCTCAGTGACCCCCTCTGAACCGCCATGATTAAAAAATTACTAATTCTTCATATGAATAACATTTCATAAAACACACACCATGAAGATGTCAACAGTGCAGGACTTGTGCAGGTGCCCTTGCATGTGCACTCTGTCAGACAGCGCCACCTACAGCTCAGAGTGCTCCTATCATGTCACTGTCATTTTAAAAGGGACTCCCCTCCTGTATTGATGAGGAGAGTCCATTTGGGATTTCTTGCTTTTTTCCTTACACTTATAAACAAGGGTTGCAATAACAATAAATGACCCTACCAGTAAAATACCTACCGCTACATAACAAATGATAGATATACTGTCATATCTGCAAGAGAAAACACAACATAAAAACAATGAATTAATAACATCATTTTTACAATCGACAGAGCTACATTAATATTAATAGTTACTTCTTTCCCTTTTTTTTCTCAATTTACTATGTAAAATTCCTTCCCCACACCTTGACAATGAGCACTTATCAGAAAGCCACCCTTTTCCTTTGGACTATTGAACTGTAATTTGTCTCACCTTGTTGTACTGTGAGATGAAAGATTTCCACGTGGATCTTGTGGATTCCAGTGAGTTCTTAGATGGATCTCACAGACGTATGTTACCCGCTGGTCTTTAGTCGTCACATTCCCTAAGGTCATATTCAGGAGCCTTGGACCGTGCAGTTTCACTCGGTTTGTGAAAGAAGGGTTTGATCTATGTAGTCCTCTCTGCCATCTTTCATCCTGAGGGACACAGGTTATATGTTCAATACTATACATTTGGGTCTTTGAAAATCAGAACTCTTGATGGGTTACTCTCTTATTTACTGTATAACTGTTAGTCTTGTCATCAAGTCGAGAGGGCAAAGCTCTTAGCAATCCAAATTGTGAATGTGGTACGGGTGGTGCAGCAGTTAGCGCTTATGCTATCACAACAAGAAGCTCCTCAATTTGATTCCATTTCCCTTCTGGGTGGCACGGTAGCTGATGTGATAACACACTCACATCTTAGCAAGCAGGTCCTGAGGTTCAAATCCCAGTTGGAACAGGCCTTTCTGGGTTGAGTTTGTATGTTTTCTGTGATGATGGTCAGTGTCTCGCTTCTGTCCACCATGTTTGGAATGAATGGAAAATATTGGCGCTCCATAAAACATGCTAAGTGCGACTTTGGGTGACCTTGGTGTCTATGAAATGAGCTATCAAAAAGGTTTGTGTCAAATACTGTTTCAGGAGGAGGAAAAGCCTCAACTAGATGCATATGAATAAATTATCTTTGATTTCTTCAACAAATTAATTGTGAACCTAAGATTCCGGATGAGCTGAAGAAGTGTGTGTGGATCAGGAAGTCCCTGTCCATCTCTGCTTAGACTTCTATCCGCGGACCGGCAACGGATAAGCGGAAGTAACAAGAGTAACGAATGATTGAAAGCAAGAAGCTAAGAGCTACCCGCAAGGCCTTCATCCCCACACTGTCAGATCTGTACAATAAGTCATTTTAAGTCACTAATAACCGGCACTTGGACTGAAATACCAGCACAGCTATTGCCACATTCTATTGTACACTCTCATATCCGGCACAAACTTATTTTTTAACACACAACATGTTGCACACTTCCTGTCTTTTTGCTCAATCTGAGTGACTCTATTCTATGCCAGATGTGACATTGTACATTTCTTTCTCCATTGTCAGATTAATAAAGCGTTATCTTTATCTCTCTTATCTTAGTAAATACATTACCACGTTTGTTATGAGCTACACGAGTTACTTCACAAATAAACATAGTATTACTTTTGTAACTATTGTTATTCTGTAACTAATTACTGTGATACTCCATTCAATACTGAGTGTAGTTATCACCTGATGAGGATGGCTGTCTGTTTCCTGTCTGTCCTGTCTTTGGCCCACATTAGATCCTGAACTGTGTCGCCCTCTGGTGACAGACACTGCAGCTGCTCATCCTCTGCAGACTGATTCACAGAGACCGAACCTTCACAGGGAGAATACACAGTCAAGTACAACAGTCGAGCTCATTCCTAAATCAACCATATGAGGCCTCTGTAAATGTGGTGTTGATATGTGCTAACCTGAAGTCACAGAGATTTCCACAGTGTTTTTAACTGTCTTCTTTCCTTCTGTAGTATTAACCCGAGCCACACACGTGTACGTCCCACTGTCGTCTTCAGTGACGTTCTTCAGGATCACGCTCAGGTCTCCAAACTTAAAATCTGGATCTTTAAGCTCCACTCGGTTATAGAAAAACGGCTCACTATCATTTGACCACGTCCTGTTGTCTCTGTGAAATAGGACTGTTTCTGTATCACGTTTCCATTCCAGGATTATAACACCAGTGACTCCAGCCGGGCCCCGGCACGGCAGCTCCAGTTCAGGAAGAACACCTTTAACCCCTAAAACAGAACGTGTTTATTTGGTTAATGACCCGGGAAGAGGACAATACAATAATCGTATTTACTTGTGACGAATAAATGTGCAACTATTTCACCATCTTTGGTAGGGAGGAGTCCATGTTTATTTAATTGGGAATAAGGCCACTTTTAGTTAATCATATTTAGTTATGTAATGCAACCAAAGTCTTTTATAAGATCGTTGGGCGAAACCCTTTCAGGCAAAACTGTTTTTAATGCTAATATCAACTGTGTTTGCCTGAAATAAAGAAATTAAAATAAAATACGACCAGAGGAACGAAGTTGTAATGCCATTTTTTCATACCACTGGTACATTGATAGTGTAAATAAAATGTATGAGCTGAGCGAGTGTTTGTGGTTTTATCTAAATGTGACAGGAAGAGCAGAGGTGAAGAACAGATGCCCCTGAACCACAGGCACAGGAGCCAGCAGTGATGGAAGCCACAGCTCTGCTCCGTGAGTGCAACTACTGATGTGCACATTCTTAACCTGGCATTCATTTTATTTTACTTTATTTGTCTTCTATTTATTATTTCCACATAGAGCTGTTTCTGCTGTTCTGCCCCACATTTCAAGGTCAGTCTGTTTAGTGTTTCCTCATTATTAATATCATATGCACATTTATCCTGAAGCGTATAATGCTAATTAATGAAATATTTTCTTTTACATTTGTGAAATTGGGATGGACAATGGAAATTGCAAAGTACAATGGACTTTATGCCAATTCATTGCCTCATAAACTGACTTAGTTTTGAGATAATATCAATTAATACATTAATTTCAAAATAATGATATATGCAAATGAGTGAGAAGATTTAAAAGATTTAAAAAATCTGAAATAATTTAAACCCAGGGTTAACCCTGTTCCCACATTGTTGAGTTGATAACCATGTGTCTCCTGCAGCTCATATGAAAGTGAGCCCAAACCAGTCCCAGTTCTCCAAATATGACCCAGTGTCTCTGAGATGTGAGGGCCCTGGACACTGGGCTGTGGTCAGAAACACGAGCAGACGCAGCAGGCAGCGCTGCGGACGGGACTGGGGCCAGTTTAAAGCTTCTGTGTGTACTATCGGAGCTCTCATTCCTGATGACAGTGGTCTGTACTGGTGTGAGGGAGACGGACACCGCTCTGCACCACTGCACATCAACGTACGAAGAGGTAACACGTACAAGACAGAAATATTAGGTTTAAAAGCTTCACGGTAAAAAAAATACAGTAAAATTAACAGAAAAAATATTGTAAAAACGCAACATAATATTAATGTTAGTATAAAAACAATAATTTTATATTAAAATCACAATAAAAATATTGTAATCTGAGAAACAAGATATTTTTGTTGAAATTACATCCATGATATGTGATTATGATCAAATGTACTCGAAAAATATCAAATCCAATAAAAAAAAAATTGTATGACTTACTCTTAATATTGAAATATTGTAAAATATACATTTTTGAAGCTTTATTTTTAATGATAGAGAGAATTTGAGAGAAAATAATATGAGAATTGATAATTAATCTTTTGAAGTGAAAATGTAGTGTGCTTTCACATAATTTAAAAATGACTGAATAATAGTCAGTTATAAATTGATAACCCCATGAGATACCCCAAATTACTCTCTCTAGGGTCTAGAGTGTAAATTGAGCCCGTATTCCATAGTTGGAGGGTAATGGTCCATTTTTAGACAATTAAGTAAAGAAAGTTACGTACAATTAGGTATTTTAAATAGTGGTTCTTTGGCATAGCCATCTCGATCATGGTTGGGAAAAATAAATAAAATGGCCAATAATTCATTTGGTCTAAATGTAAATTTAATAAAGTTCCTTTAAAAAACAACATAACCTTAGTTAGAAGAACAAGGGCAGCCACAAGATTGCAAATGCGCAAAATCAATAGCAAAACTATATTCAACACCGCGATCTGCTACAGCCACGCAGATTTAAAAATCCTCTTTTCTGTTGCCGATGATGCAGATGTCTTTGTTCAGGTTAATGCAGCGAAGTTTCCATACTTAGCTGCACAGTGCAACCGTATTTTTTTACAGAAATGTTCTGGTAACAATAGTTGCCAGAATTTTACTGCAAAATCTACTGATTTTTTTATAGTGCAGGGTTAGATTTTTTAGATTCCTAATTGGGCATTTAAAATGAATAATATAATATTGTCACTTTATAGCTTATGTCATGTATAGAATCATTCACAGACTGATTATAAACCTTTTGTAATGTCGTGATAAGAATTTGGACATTTCTCTTCTTTAGAGTCAACACCACTCACTGATGTCAGCCACCTCCTCTACAGCCGATCTCCATCCCCGTCAGCTAAAGCCTCCCCTCCCTCATCAGAGCCCTCTCCCTCCTCAGCAGAGCCCTCTCCCCCCTCACAGCGCCACCTAGGTGTGGCCTTGCTCAGTCACCTGCTGGTGCTGTGTCCCTATGTGGTGTCCACTGTCCTAATGCTGTCTCTGTGCAGACACACACGCTCAGGTGATACAAATAATTGAACTGTGCCACTTTTTGTTTTCAGCTTGTTTCATGGTGGAGTCTTAGCAGGAATATTCAAAATATCCCTTGTTTCTCACTGGGGATTTGTTTTTCCATCTGGCCCAAAGACTGTATACTCAGAGTGGAATGGGTCACCCACAGAGGAGAGGCCGATTAGGAATTGCACTACTTGTGAAAGAAAGCCAAAATTGACGACAGAAGCCTCCTGATTGATCAGTTATTAGGGGACATATCTGGATTTACAAAGACAATATAACATTATAAACACCAGGATCAAAGAAACGCTAAAGAATAGATTTTTTAAAAACATCTTCCAAGCTAGTTAATGTTCATCTAAATACAGTCTATGATTTGGCCATTTCCTAAATCTCCCAGAGGTCAGAGTTCAATGTACATTTATGAACATTTACAGACATTGGTCGTCCTGCTAACCTACGGACCAATGGCTCCTATTTGGGGTATGCAAAGTAAATTGAATTGAATTGGACGTTGAGGTATTTCAGCGACTAATATTTTCTTATCAAACCTTTTGAGGTCATCAAGGAACAGCGGCAATCATGCCAAGAAAAGATTACACTCAGCTGGACTCTATTTAGGAGCTCAGGGACAGGCCTCCTGCTGGTTCCCAGATTCAGACCGAAACACTGGGAGGTAGCGTTTATGCTGCTAAAATCTGGAACAGTCTTTCTGAAAATGTGAGACAGACTTCTACTCAGACATTTTTCAAATCCAGGTTAATTTCTTGCTCAGAAAGAATGTATCCACACTATTTTGAATGTACTGTCCTTATTTATGATGATAATGCCTTGTATGATTGTTTAGCACTTTGTCTTGTCTTGTATATGAACTGTGCTATCCAAATACACATGCCTTGCCTTTAAAGTTAGGGCATTCATAAGTAAACTACCAATTGGCTACACACAAAGAAATCAGGGTTGAATATTTTGCATGCCGTAATTTTCAGTTTTTTATTCTAATTTGATTTTGCGAACACTTCACAATAACCAAAGCCAACAATACACATTCATCTTTATGATTTTAAGGAGACTAATTGTGGAAAAGTTGGGGTATGAACACTTTTTCAATGTATAGAATATTCTTGTTTTAATCATCTCATTTGTTTCTCTCTGATCTTTGCAGAAGACTCCCCTCCCCCTTTGAGGAACAGCAACTTGTAATGACCAAAAGTCAAGCATAGGATCCTCCAGATATTAATGGTTTGAAAATAGACACACAGTCAAATATATAGATTCTAAATGTGTCAACTCTTTAAGGGACAGCAAGTAGTATCGTAAAGGTCTAATAAAGTAAGTTCGTTTCTAGAATCTTCCTGCAGCACAAACCACCGCTGGAGTTCCAAAAGGTGTACTGCACGTGTTGAGCTATTGACACATGTGAAAAGGCAGGTCTCATTCAAAATGGTACTTATGCTCTCTTTAAGGGAGATATTATTTATGTTTCCCAGTCAAGTTATTATAAACCAAAACCTTTGAGCCGCATCCAGACCCATGTGCTAACTTGTCTTGTCTTGCCAAATCGTGTTAGCTTATAGCGTGTTTTTTATTGTTTATTATTCACCACCCATTAAGTCTTTTTGAATGAATATATAGGTGTATAATTTTGTTTCTCTTTTTAAGATTCCAAGCCATAGATGCTACTCTATGGGTTTAGAATGTTGTGGAAGTCAATACGTGAACAAAGTGTGCGTGGATTATTTGATGTTCTGGTTCTGTTGAGTTTAACTGTTCGAGCTTCTAAAAAAACACGTCGTGTCGAGTCATGTTTGAGGGAATTTTACCTTGAGGAGAGTCGCCATGAGCGAATAATAGCATGAGCACGAGCACGAGGAGCCTCCATGCCGCTGTCATTTTTGGTATGAGGAAGAGCCAAATCATAAGAACCGGTAATATGGCACAAGATCTCGTGAGATTTAACGAGATGATCATGGGAGTGTACAATGTCCGTTCTCCTGCTTGGCTCTGATAAAAGTTTCAAATACTGGATATATTTTCTAACTGTTTTTATTTGTTATTATTTTCCAATCTTATCTTTTTCTGGTGGACTGACAGCTGCTGTAAATACAGTGCCTTGCGAAAGTATTCGGCCCCCTTGAACCTTTCAACATTTCGCCACATTTCAGGCTTTAAACATAAAGATATAAAATTATAATTTTTTGTCAAGAATCAACAACAAGTGGGACACAATCGTGAAGTGGAACGAAATTTATTGGATAATTTAAACTTAAAGTTGTACAAGGTGGTTAACGAATTGGAAGGGGTTAATATTACGAGACCTCAAGTCCAAAATTATCTACTTAAACAAGACGTCTATACGCTCCATACGTCACCTAGGATAAATTTTCCAACTAACAGAGTGCTAGTAAATGGCATAGACAATCAATTTCAGGCTGATTTAGTAGATATGACAGAATATGTCAATGAAAATGATAATGTTAGGTATTTACTTACTTGTATAGATGTATTTTCAAAATATGCGTGGGTGAAGTGTCTCAAATCGAAAAAGGGTCCAGAAGTGGCAGAAGTGTTTAAACAAATTCTAAGTGAAGGACGGACCCCTCGAAAACTACAAACAGATCATGGAAAAGAATTTTATAATAAGCATTTCAAGAATGTGTTGAGTGCCTATCAAATTAAACATTTTTCCACGGCTAATGAAACAAAGGCCAGCGTGGTTGAACGATTTAACCGTACTTTCAAAGCCCGAATGTGGAGATATTTAACATCGGTAAATTCGAGACGCTACATAGACGCGTTGGATCAACTTGTCCATGGGTATAATCATGCATATCATCAAAGTATCAAGATGACGCCGGTGAGTGTGAATAAAGATAATGAGGCACAGGTTTTTAAGGTATTATACAAGAAGAAGCCGACAAAGCAACTACTTTTTAAATATTCATTAGGTGACACAGTACGAATATCTAAAAAGAAAGGTATTTTTCGTAAAGGTTATGAACAGAGTTTCACGGATGAATATTTCACAATAGTTGAGCGCATAGGCCGAACACCACCTGTCTATAGATTGAAGGACCTGTCAGAGGCGCTATTACAAGGGACTTTTTATGAATCAGAACTACAACGGGTCATTATCGAACATAACAGAGTTTTTAAAATTCAAGATATTTTAAAAACAAAGCGTGTGGGCAAAACTAAACAGCATTTTGTTAGTTGGATCGGATGGCCTAAGGAGTTTAACTCGTGGATAAATGCTAAGGAGGTTATACATATATAAGAACCAATGAATCATAATGAAGGATTTTATGTTACCCTCGCAAGCAATGCGTCTATGGAGGTTTACCCAAAAAACAAAATATGGAAATTTAGAAACAAGCTTGCTCGACCCCTCTTGTTAACAGAGCCTTATGAAGTAGGTTTAATCGAAGTTCAATATCCTAGAATTTGGAAATCTTTCGATGAAAGAGCAGCAAAAATGATCGTCATCACACCTACAGGAAACTCGGACGTTATAGATATTACAGTAGGGTTTTATGAATCCATGGACAGAATAGTGAAGGAAATTAATTATGCTTTATCAACTAAAGCGATAACGGGGAATATTCACTTACAATACAACAACATTAACAACAAAATCACTATACATGAAGCAGCAGGACATACCTTGACATTTTACGGGTTATTAGCTATTATCTTGGGTTTTGAAAATCAAGCGAGTGTCTACATACCCGAAGACCCAATTACCCCGTTTGCTGCACCGTATCCAGCAGATATATACGCAGGATGTTATAATTTTTTTATATACACTGATATTGTCGACTATCAGCTGGTGGGTGACAGCCACGCCCCTATACTACGCGTGATAAATATTACAAATCAAAATGCATCATATCCAACGGTAACCTATGATAAGCCTCATTACACACCCGTGTCTAAATCAGTCATAGACGATATTGAAATATCTTTTAAAAACGATCAAAACAAGCATATTCCGTTTTTATACGGGAAAGTAATTTTGAAACTACATTTTAGACGTAAAAATGGGTTATATTCCACACAGAGCGGATGAGTCTAAATACATAGCTTACTACCTGTCTCAGGCAGGAGGGGACCTCCCTGGTTTCAGGGGGGCGCAGACCCAATATGGAAATGGATTAGGAGGGATATTTCGTGGATTATTCAGATGGGGTATGCCTCTATTGCATAAGGGCTTCAACGTGTTAAAACCCCATTTGAAAACAGCAGCGGGTAATATCATAAACGACATAACAAACAGGGTTTCTAAAGCGGCTGTCTCAAAAGTGATGAGCGATGAACAGGATGGTAGAGGCATGCTTGTATATACTAAAAAGCCTCAAACCCACCCCCCTGGTGTGAAGCTAACGACACACCCACGTAAAACAAGTCGCAAACGCAAATTAGGACACAAGCGAAACACCAGACCGAGGAAGCAGTCAAAGCTGACGGAGCTGTCGCGTGATATATTTTAAATATGGCCTTGTTACACAGCGACTCTAAGGAATGCGTCAAGACGGAGTTGGACCTCTTTACTCTCCCAATCACCCAAACCTCTATTGAAAAGAGTACATTCATAGAAATCCCACCAATCTCTGCTATAACTGACACCGGACCTATTGAATTCCACATAACAGGGAGCGGTGAAGATTATATAGACTTGAATGACTCGTATATATTTCTAAGGACAAAACTTTTAAATGCTGATGGTACACCTATAGCAGTGGGGGCCGACGTGGGTTTTGTAAATTATCCTACTACATCACTGTTTTCGCAAGTGGATATCATGCTGGGTGATAAATTAATTACTCAGTCATCTAACACTTATCCTTATAGAGGGATTCTAGAATGTTTGGTTAATTACAGTAAGGATACATTAGACACTCAATTTGGTACAGCCTTGTTTTGTAAAGACACTACAGGGCATATGAATGCTGCTAGTATAGCCGGTAATAACCTAGGTTTAAATAAGAGAGGTACATTTACAGACAATGGTCGTATTGTAGAATTGATCGGTCCTATACATTCGGATATATTTTTTCAAGAAAAACTCATTTTAAACGGTGTAGACATGTCATTGAAATTTATGCGGTCTAAAGATGAATTTGTACTGATGTCTGGAGCTAATGATCCCAAGTATCGTGTGAAAATAGTTTCAGCATCGATTTTTATTAAAAAAGTCGCTGTAGCCCCTATGGTGAGACTAGGGCACAGCAGGGCCTTGCAGCATACCAATGCGAAATATGCTATTGATCGTGTTGCTTTAAAAACATTTTCAATACCTAGTGGCACTAGAGTTTGTAACCAAGACAATCTATATTTAGGTAAAATACCTAAATTCTTAATTGTGGGTTTTATTGACAACGAGGCGTACACGGGGAGCTATACACGTAATCCTTATCATTTCCAACATTTTGATACTGAATTTATGAGTTTATACGTAGACGGTCAATCCTACCCATCTAAGCCTTTTCAACCAGTATTTAATAGAGGGCAGTATGTACGTGAATATTACCAGCTGGTGCAAACAACGGGTCGCCATTTAAAAGACAGGTCTCTTGCGATAGATCGAGACGATTTTGGAGATGGTTACACTCTGTTCTGTTTTAATTTAGAGGCTGATGAAGGCCATGGTGGTAATATATCACTAGTTAAATCCGGTAACGTACGTTTAGAAGCTAGGTTTAGGACACCGCTAGCACGTACCGTTAATTTGATCTGCTATGCAGTTTTTGATTCCATTATTGAGATTTCAAACAGAAGACAAGTCCTTTTAGACTATTATTAGATGCCGTACTAATGAATACTATAGAGTTAACGAGCATCATGAAGCTGTGTGTCAAAAAAGGCACGGGTTTCCTAGGTGTTTTCCCCTCAGACCGTTTACCAAGTGTCATAAAACGTTATCCAGCGTGTGCCATCATTAACACCCACCCATCCAACCTTCCTGGAGAACACTGGGTAGCGGCATACTTTCGTAAAGATAGGTGCGGATACTTCTTTGACAGCTTCGGCAACGGACCTGCTTATAAAAGTTTTCCAAATAGTATTAATAGATTTATGAGGGAGAATAGTGAAGGTTTTTACCATTCCATAAAACAGGTACAGAGTCATCTTTCTGTAACATGTGGACAACATTGTGTATTTTTTCTATGCCACATGTTAAAAGGTTCAAGTTATAAAGAGTT